AATGGAGAAATTGAAGAACTCCTGTGAGGAACAGGATAGTATTAGTGCTGGTCTCACTGCTCCTCCATGGGGACTAGAGTACAGCAATCTGTTGCCACTTTTCTACCTTCTGGGGAGAGGGAAGAAAAAAAAATCCCCAATGCTCCCTTTCTTCCTCTCAGCAGGGATTGGAACAGCAAAAGAAAGGGATATTTGGCAAAATTCAGAAAGCTGATATTCAGCTTAAAACCAAATGCCAGAGAGGAGTTATCAGTGGTTCACAGTCAAGCTGGAAGGGCTTATCAAGTGGGGTTCTGCGGGGATCAGTTCTGGGTCCTATTCTGTTCAATATCTTCATCAGTGATTTAAATAATGGCACAGACTGTACATTTATAAAGTTTGTGAATGATACCAAGCTGGGTGGGGTTGCAAGTGCTTTGGAGGATAGGATTAAAATTCAAAATGATCTGGACAAACTGGAGATATGGTCTGAAGTAAATAGGATGAAATTCAATAAGGACAAATGCAAAGTACTCCACTTAGGAAGGAATAATCTGTTGCACACATACAAAATGGGAAATGGTTGCCTAAGAAGGAGTACTGCAGAAAAGGATCTGGTGGTCATAGTGGATCATAAACTAAATATGAGTCAACAGTGTAACAGTGTTGCAAAAAAAGCAAACATCATTCTGCGATTTATTAGCAGAAATGTTGTAAGCAAGGCATGAGAAGTAATTCTTCCACTCTACTTTTAGCTGTTTAGGCCTCAACGGGAGTAATGTGTCCAGTTCTGGGTGCCACATTTCAGGAAAGATGTGGACAAATTGCAGAAAGTCCAGAGAAGAGCAACCAAAATGATTAAAGATCTAGAAAACACGACCTTTGAGGGAACATGGGAAAAAAATGGGTTTGTTTAGTCTGGAGAGGAGAAGAGAAGACAGAGGGAGGACATGATAACAATTTTCAAATACATAAATGGCTGTTACAAGGCGGAGAGAGAAAAATTGTTCTTCTTAGCCTGTGAGGATAGGACAAGAAACAATGGGATTAAATTGCAGCAAGGGAGATTTAGGTTGAACATTAGGAACAAAATTCCTAACTATCAGGGTAGTTAAGCACTAAATTAAATTGCCTAGGGAGGTTGTGGAATCTACATCATTGGAGATTTTTAAGAGCAGGTTAGACAAACACCTGCCAGGGATGGTTTAGATAATACTTAGTTCTGCCTTGAGTGCAGAGGACTGGACTAGAAGACCTCTGGAGGTCCCTTCCAGTCCTACATTTTTATGATACCAGCCTGCTTGCCAATCAAATCCTGTAAAAAGCAACAGAGGGTCCTGTGGCACCTTTAAGACTAACAGAAGTATTGAGAGCATAAGCTTTCGTGGGTAAGAACCTCACTTGCATCTGAAGAAGTGAGGTTCTTACCCACGAAAGCTTATGCTCCCAATACTTCTGTTAGTCTTAAAGGTGCCACAGGCCCTGTGTTGCTTTTTACAGATTCAGACTAACACGGCTATCCCTCCAATAATCAAATCCTGGTGCTGCTTTAGGTATTTGTGAGATAAGTAGGTAGGGAAACAGAACACTGAACTTAAGTTTTGGCAGAAAAGTGAAGGAGGAACTGATTTGCAAATATTGTGTTAAAAATGTAAATGCATGTATAGCTTTTGAGTCTACACATGCTAATGATTTGTGGTCTTAAACCGTTTTTTTATTCACCTTTTAAAAAAAATTCTCTCTACCTTTAAAATCTCATCACTTCTATGTGTAGATATTTTTACAAATATACTTGACTTTTTTATTCTCTAAAATAAAGAAAAAGTAAATAAAAATGTCAGCACATTAATAGTTGGAAGATAATGATCGCTTTACATGCTTTAAAAATATTCTCAAATGATTTGATTGATGGGAAACTTGATGTGAGCTGTGGTGTCTATCAACACACAGTAGGACAAATCTGGCTAATGCTTCAGGAGAAGGAAAAAGTAAATTTTAAAACTTTAGATGTGATGCTATTATTCCAGTTTAGGGTCTTGTACTGCATACAGGCTCACACCTCCAGAGTGCCATTGACATAGATGTCACTGTTGTGAAATAAGGGTCCATGCATTTGAATCAGTTTGTAGGGCTGGATCTTTACAGATGTTACTATTAACAGATGCAACTGACTTTAAGTAATAGATTGGGGACTTAATTACATGGCACTTATTATTAATGTGAATTGAGTAGCTAAAACTGCATTCAGGGCTTGGAGAAATTTAAGGATGAGATTTGGGAATAATCCTATTAAAACAAGAAAAATATTAAGTTAGGTTTTATATAGAGTTGGACTTCTTTTGGGACAAGGTATGTGCCTTTGTATATGAATATGTAGAAATTTAAACCCTATTTGTATTTTTATGGTAACATATTGACATTATATGATCAAAATATTATAAATTATTGCAAGTAACCTCCTCCCCCGCTTGCTTGTGTTCATCCTTAGTTTTCCTTTTGTTCATTTTTTCTTTTTTTCTATAGGTCACAGTGCAGATCTCTCTTTTTCAATATGTATTTTCCCAAGTGTAACTTTTCTAGGAAATAGTCACTGTGGAAAGGCAGTAATAGCTATTTTCGAAGAAATGTAAAGTCCTCACCATGCAAGTGGCTCTGCATCAGTGTAACTCTGCGCCTACATAGAACTGGTCGCAGGATTCACATCATTTCTCTTTGTTGTTTCATTTATACCTGTATTTCACCAGTTTTACTTTTTGAGGGGCAGGGTGGAAAGATATTGAAAGGTATTAACCAATTTATTGCTGTTGCTAATAACCGCACTGCACCTTAAGCAGGAGGGACATTGTCCGGTCTTGCCAGAGGAAGGGTAGCAGTGTGGATTGAATGAACATGGAGTTGACTACACTGTACACTTTTATCTGCTAGGTAGTCCCAGACATCTAATAATAAAGTTGCAGCCTGATTAAATCCATATCAACTGTCCTTTCGGTATAGCCGGACAATTCTAGGTATGTCTTAGTAGAACATGCTTTTTTATGTATTGAATGTACCGGGCACATTCTAATATCCCATCAACCTCAATGGAATGTCAATAGAGAATGGCTGCACAGTACTTATGGTAAAGGGGTTAAGTAATATATAAGTTTTCAAATAATGTTTGAGTCTGATTACTATTGTTTGATTCATACAATAATGTTCATTCTGCTTCACAAAGCTGTTATGTGGGAGACAAGCAACATAATATTTGCTCAACTTGAAAAAAAAAGTATGTGATTTATATGTGCTGATTGCATGGTAGTAGGATTTAGATAACATAGAGACAAGCAATAATTAAAAATGAACTTGGGGAAAACATCTTATTTTCTCTGTAGACAGACTGATTATATGACTATAGCTGAATTCTGTCAGACTTCTTCTGTACACCAGCAAAAGCAGACATTTTTGCTTGACTTCCATAGTATCAACAACATGGTAGCACCAGGAAAAAAAAGCAGTCAGATTGGATATATTCCAGTTGGCTCCCTCCGCTATCACTTTCTGGCTAGTCTGATGTAATGCATTTAATATTTTCCTCTGCTGTTGGTTAATTTATATAATTTTAATTTTTTGGAGAGGGGAGTGGGTGGGTAAGAAAACAAAACAGGAAGCGTGTCACAATTTCTCTAAAAATATAATCATAGGATCTTGGGGAAATACTCTACCACCTATTGTTCACATAAAACTCTTTAAAAAGTATAAAACTTCACATTATACCCCAAAGTATACCACAGTCTGTAGTTGGTGATGTGGCGATTACTACAGTGGCTACTATATTTTTAGCAGATTACAAGTAGGCAGAAAAGAAAGAAAAGAGCAACAAAATACCTGTAGTGACCAATCTTACTTTTCAAGTATTTTATTCCTCATGTGTTTATAGGAGGTGCATAGAACAAATACAAAATGGTTTTACTCTGACAAAATATTCAAAGAGAAGCCCCCAAGTTAGGACCATTGCATTAGCCTGTATGTACTGGAAGCCTGATTCTCTGTTCACACACATGCAAAATTGGAACCTGTGGATGACATCAAGTCTGATTGACCTGCAGTCTCCAGTCTTATCTCATTCATTAACTTTGCTGAGTTTCTGTGCCAAGGGTAAGGGGAAGCCATGCTGGAGTTAATGTGCTTTTTAGCAGTGACCATGTAGTGACCTTCTACCCTGTCATATAGACTTAACAGTTCTGTAAATGTAATGATCCACCCACAAGACAGTCCTGCTGCTGCCAGGCAAGTGTAATATATTTTTTCCTTTCTGCAGAGGTTGAGTTTTATTCTTTAATTAATATTATGTCACTTTTATAACACAGCCTACACTTTTTTCTAAATCGCTATTTTTTAAAGTTTTTAAAGTTTTTTAATGTTTTTTTTAAATCCCTGCAGTAAGCAATTCCCCATGAATGCATTTCATATTTATTGGGAAATCTCCTCAAAAATTGCTAAGATGGAGATGAGGTTGAGAATATATTCCATTAATTAAAAAATAGATGTTCAAATGTAAGAATCTTAGCTCTTCCCCTATTCCACATGCTCTGACCATACACTCATCAGAGGTTCTCACCAGTTGTCATATAAAATGTAAGTCTGAAAGGAGCTGTTTTTGGTGAAAGTTGTGTGCGGTGTCAAGATCAGTTTATAATGGAAGTGCTGTTAGAGCCTGAACTATAGAGTTACTACCACAGGTCCATAATGAGTTCCATAGACTAAATGGTGTAGGAAGTATTTATGGCAATGGGACAGGTTGAAGGGCTCTTGGTAATGTACGTTGTTCAATGGTTTGTATAAATGTTATTGGTGACTAGATGGATTCTTGGAAACTCGATCATTTCCTGATGTTTAAGAACTGATTTTTTTTAATCAGTAAAAAGTAGGAATGGATTTGAACGATGCTTCCACTTATATTCAGCCCTACTATGATTTTTCTGTGTTTACAAAATATTATTTGCTATGAAGAATATGGAACTTAAACAATCTATGCTTTTTAGTTAGAAGAACTGATGAATGCACTGGAAAAGACCAGACAAGAATTGGATGCTACCAAAGCCCGTCTTGCCTCAACACAGCAGTCTCTGGCTGAGAAAGAAGCACATCTGGCTAACCTCAGAATAGAGCGGAGAAAACAGCTTGAAGAAATATTAGAAATGAAGTAAGTACATTTACTCCTCTTGATACTAGATGCATTGCAATTTCCATTTTTCCCCCTGCTCTATATGTATTGTACTCCTATTTAAACCTTCTGAAACTCAGGACCTCTTAAGAAATGTGTGTGAGTTAGGTTCTCGCTAAAATATCCTTGGATTATGAAGGTAATATTTATCGGGAAGTCAGCAACACACACAGGTAGAATTCTTGAAAAAGTGTTTTGTTATAACTTGCCTTGTAGTATTAGATGCTAATACAGTATCAGCACAGTTTAACTTAAGTTGAGAGCTTCTGAAATATTTTAATATGAATTTGTCTCCATTCATTATCTGTGTTTTAAATTTCCATAATGTTCTGCCTTATTCTAATGTGAAAAGGGATCATCTGTGGCACAAAGCAAATTTGTCCACTGGGTTATGCTAAAACTAGGATGCGGTCACATCTTTCAGCAAGAATCCTGAAAAAAGCTCCATGTTGGATTTCCTGTTAGAGTGTCAAATGAGAGGCAAAGGAAACGTCAATTTTATATAGATGTTGTGAACCTTACTAAGTTGAATTGACACAAAAATATCAGCATATAACACTATCTTAAGCTTAAGAAACCAAAAAGGTTGCAAGGTTGCAGAGGCCTATAATTTAAATTTAACTTCCTTTCCATAATAAAGGAAAATATGTGTAATTATAATGCATTAAGGCTGTGATACTCTCTTTGAAATTGGTGGCTTGCTAGAGAAGAATTACCTTGTTATGACTTGGCCAGTCTGGTAATTATGCAGTGATCATTATGCATAGGAAATTCAAAGAACATGAAATATATTGTAAAATTAAAAATAAAATAAACAGGCCATTTCTAACTTTCAGCTTTCCTTAGTTTTCTTGCTGTACAGGGCAGATGTCCATATAGTTATAAAAAAGGTAAGTCCATCTGACAAAGAAATTATTTAATATTGTTGCTCTAAATACACCATACAACGCATACACATGTATACATATGGTATAATTCTGCATATGTCAAACTGAAAAAGGGATATCAAATAATATGTAGGTTGATTATAAATATCTGGGTGCAATCATAGCCCCAGTGAAGTCAATGGGAGTTTTCACCTCTGGTCTATATTAAAAAGTGGAACTGTGCATGGTTCATTATTGATGATACTATTATTTAGTGAACAGATAGGGAACCAAATGCAGCCATAAGCAGTTTTAATTTACTTTGCTATTTTATTATAGCTTTCTTTCATATAGATAGTTGTTAGCTCCTAGTTCTGCTGCAATTGAATCAGAGGTTTAGTGCCAATACAATTTCAAATGTTCATCTGTCTTGACTGTATAATTTTGTTTGCTCTAGTCGATTGCATTAAGTAAGTGATAAGGTCTTGCCTTAATGGAAAGGATGCATTTTTGGTATGACTGACCACAAATATCAATTGTTGGGTAAAATTAAAAAAGATTGTAAGGGAAGTTCTGGCTATTGCTGTGGGATATTTGGGTTGCTGTACAGACTCTCATGGGTATTGGAGACACATGTTTGGAGTGCATCTTTTGATTGAGATTCCTAGCTTGTAAAGCCTATGTAGAGCTTGAATTCACTTTGGACAGAAATGGGTTACCTAGCTTTATGGATAAAGGACCTAATAGTGGGTAGAAGACTCAGTTGTCCTAGCCCAGAGATAGAAAGGTGTCAAAGACTAGGATGGGATATAGGAGTAGACAAATTAGTGGCTGTCAGAGCCACTAATGCTATGATGACAATATCTTATAGCACAAATTCCTAATTAAGGAAGCAAGTATTTGTGATGGATAAGATACTGTTTTTACTTTTTCTTCATTTGCATAGTTGTCAGTGTCGTTTGTTCTTTAGGTTTTGATAATTACTTTTAACAGCCACCTTATTTATTTTTTACATTGTTGCCTTTTAATTTCTTGGTTTATAATTTTTCTGACTTGTGAATCTTTGTTCGACCCTTAACTGGTGCTTCTGTCTTTAAGAAAAGCAATTTTGTACATACATTTTTTTTAATAAATGTTTATCCCTAAAATATGAACCAGGATTTCTCCAAAAATAAATCCTCCACATTAAAAAAACAAAACAAGTAAGTTTTCTTGGTTTAGGTGTTTTATTATACATAAATTAAGGATACCTCATAGGTAGGGCCCTACCAAATTCATGGCCATGAAAAACACATCACGGACCATGAAATCTGGTCTCTTGTGTGCTTTTACCTTATACTATATAGATTTCATGGGGGAGACCAGCGATTCTCAAATTGGGGGTCCTGACCCAAAAGGGAGTTGCAAGGGGGTCACAAGGTTATTTTAGGGGGGTCGCAGTTGCCATCCTTACTTCTGCACTGCCTTCGGAGCTGGGCAGCCAGAGGGCAGCAGCTGGTGGCCAGACGCCCAGTTCTGAAGGCAGTGCCCAGCCCAGCCAGCAGCAGTGCAGAATTAAGGATGGATCTACGATACCATGCCACCCTTACTTCTGCGCTGCTGCTTTCAGAGCTGGGCAGTCAGAGAGTGGCGGCTGCTGACTGAGGGCCCAGCTCTCCAGGCAGCAGTGCAGAGGTAAGGGTGGCAATACCATACCATGCCATCCTTACTTCTGTGCTGTTGCTGTCAGTGGCTCTGCCTTCAGAACTGGGCTTGTGGCCAGCAGCCATCACTCTTCAGCTGCCCAGCTCTGAAGACAGAACTGCCGCCAGCAGCTGTGCAGAAGTCACGGTAGCAATACCGCAACCCTCCCCAACCCCCCCGACACACACACAGTAACCCTGTGAGCCCTGCAAAAATCCTTTTTGGGTCAGGACCCCTACAGTTACAACACTGTGAAATTTCAGATTTAAATAGCTGAAATTATGAAATTAACAATTTTTAAAATCCTATGACTGTGAAATTGACCAAAATGGACCATGAATTTGGTAGGGCTCTATTCATAGGCAGCAGAGGGTTTCCTAACTGTCATCTTCTGTTGCAGTTTGGCCACTTGATTGACTACTTTATTACTCCAGTTTTAAGCAGTTGTAACTCCATCTATTTTTAAAAACTCCAGAGAGAGGTTTGGAGTTTAAACCTGAGCCTTTTGTGAAGTCTCTTCTCTCTAGACATGTGGGACCTCCCTGGAGCCTATCACAGGGATCCAGTCCTATTGCAATCAATGTGAATTTTGCTAATGATTTAGGGAGGAATAGGATTGGGCCTACTTTCCTTGGTAAATAAAACAGATGTTAATGTATTATTGTTTTACAGAATACCATAAAATACCGCTATGTGAGATGTGATATAAGGCTGAGTTAATGTTTGGGAAAATCCTTAAATTTGAATGGGATTATCTGATGATATAATTTTAATACATTAGGTCTGCATGGGTGTATCTGTGCCTTGGTCAGCATAACCTCTATCACTTGTGATGATGTGTGATATGGAAAGAATTTATCATGACTGTCAGAATCCAGGATGATTTTGCAGAGCCAGGAGATAGTAAATAGAGCTGATATGACATGGAAAGCAATGAGGCACACATTAATGTGGAACGTCACAGTGCCATTTTTCCAAAGGCACTTTTTAGTGGAGACCTGCACTTCAACTTCTTAATGTTGTTATTTTTTAAGTGCTTGTTACCACAATCTTTTTATTGCATTAAAGCTACTTTAAAAAAAATGTTATTGTAACTTTGCCTTAATAAAAAGTTTAGAAAACATAAAAAAATTATACATGTAAAAAATCACGCTTTGAGTTCTGTGGATGAAAAGAGCTATATTAATGCTAAATATTGTTTCAGAACATATAAGATGTATAATTTATCATGTGAATTTACATTTTAATTTTTATATAGATATAGATAGATTTAATAAAATCTGCAGTACATTGTATTATATACTTACTAAATAGTCCAATAAGAATAATTCACAAACATGGGTCAAAGGAGTTTGATTTTATATACTTGCTTACTGAAAGAGGAGCATATTGAAAGAGCAATTCAAAACTGCATGGCATTTAATTATTTTTATTAATATACATTATATTCTAATAACCAAACAGTGAATCAAATTAGAGTCATACGGCTGATGGCAGAATACTGACAGTTCTGCATAATAGTAATACACTAGCATAGTGTTTATTCATCTGCTTTTTCTCTGATAATGTATTCATTTAATTAGCAGACCAGACTATAGCCCCATAACTGATATTTACCATTTTATTATTTAATGCTGAGTAGATACAATTTGTGACTGCTGGCTTACAGGCATGAATTGTGTACTTAAGAACTTTCATGATGATTTCCTATGCTTATATTATGTTAAAGTTCCAAACATAGCTCTCAATTCTAAACCCATCTGGTTGACATTGCCAAGCTCCATCTTAATTCACTGGGTATAATCAGTTGTCAGTTTTAGACAAATTCTTCAGTTGTCATTACAAGTCTCCATGTATACTAAGTTATTTAAAGAAGTTTAGAATAAAACCAGGTAGCAACTTAATTTAGTGCATTATCTAGTTGGGCTTTTTGATCTGGACTCTGAGAGAGAGCCCCACTCATTAGATAAGTGCCCTTCAAAGAAGAGGAAGTTCAATGGAATGAGATAAACATCTCCTTATATTCTTTGCTTGATGTTAACATGTGAAAAGATGAGATTTATTTTTTTAAGAATTCCACAATATTAAAGTTTGGAACAAGAGTTGCATGTTATTGACAATAAAGAGTTATATAATTTCTGGAGAAAATATTTTTGTTATGGTGAATATTATTTTCTCAATGTGCACAAATAATTCATACTGGCATTAATGGGAGTAATGCATACATGTTAACATCAGAATATACCATATGTTCAAATCTATTATTTTGCCTATTTGGTCCTAATGCTTTCTGCATGGTTTATAACCCGTGCCTTCTAAGCATAATAAAATCACTGAGCTAATTATTATGTAAAATATACTATTTTTTCAAAAGTTTCTGTATTGCATAATGTCAATAATTTAATATAGATTTCAGAAATTATTTACTGT